AAAACGAACTAGATCTGCTAGGGGTGTAGAGCAACCATCAATGATGTCATCGAGTGGCTCGGACTCTTACAGAGGAATTATTCCGACAATTATTGTGAAGATGACATACACCATATAAGATATCAAACTCGCTTCCCGATGTGCGCGTCACAACGACGAAGTTGCGCCACGGAGTGATCGATCATAGCATACTGGGCCTGTTTCATGGGAGCAACTTGCGCCTTAAACTTAAGTAACGCCTTAAATATACCTTGAGCAATTAGGGCATTCTATTTCACTATTCAAGTAAGCACGCTAAGGCGCCTTAAGTATCCTTGTGAAACAGGCCCACGGTCGGTGTATTTCGAACGGACATGAGGGAAGCGTAAACGGTAGTCCAATACAACGTAGTCGTGGATGAGACAGCGTATGGATCTTCGAATCGTTCGCCGCTCTATAGCAGCGATATCGTGCTATCCCATCCAGCTTCCAACGGGTCGGGACGAACTGTACGTAGAATCTTTGATCTGGTAGTGTCGTAATCACCCTCCAACTGTATAGCACTCTGGGGATCTGGTTGCCCTTTACAATTTTCTCATATCTTTCTACGAGTTTGATTCGGTTCTTTTCTCTCCGGGTGTGCCCTACTCGCGTGAGTCGCTCGACTGCGACTATCAGATGCACTCACCGCTGTAGTATCGACTCTTGCTTAGTTTTCTTTTCCTAACCATCCATTCGACAACATGTTGGGAGTGTATGCTGAGGAGTTCAAGTCAGTGTTGCATAATCCAAGAAGGGTAAGGACTGTGTAGTCGTTTAACTCCTCTCAAATCATCATCTTCTTATTACCTGGAACCGGCACGACCGCCTAAATACTTTCATGGGACGAGAGATCCATTCGCCGGGAGCGCCCTTTGTGTTTCAGTTCATGACGTCAACGCTCAACCTGGCATGTGTGGTGTTCTCTGCCCTCATGTTATGGAAGGGTCTCATGCTGTACACGGGCTCAGAGAGTCCCATTGTGGTGGTATTGAGGTAATACCAACTGCAATGAGGAGTGGACAGATTTATTAAACTTTAGTGGCTCGATGGAACCTGGCTTCCACAGAGGAGATATACTTTTTTTAACACTAAAACAGCAGGACCCTTTCGAGCCTGGTACATCATTCTCTGGATCCCTTTGCAGTGTAGATGTGTGTTTTTGTAGGCGATGTGTCCGTTTTCTCCATCGACGGTCGCGATATCCCCATCGTTCACCGAATCGTCAATGTGAGTGCTCCGCTGTAGTCCCAAGCCTACCAGGCACGTGCAGGTTCATGAAGAGGAGAGTGGTCGCGTCCGCATATTAACGAAGGGTGATAACAATATGGTACTGAGGGTTGATGGTAACAATGAATCTGGAATGGTGATTGCTCTTTTTCGGCTAGGTTGATGATCGTGGCCTCTACAACTACGGTCAACTTTTCATCGAAAGGAAGAATATCATGGGGAGGGCTCAAGGGTGAGTCCATCGCTACCTCATGTGTATATCTAAGTACTTTCCATCCAGCTTCCTGCCCTATGCGGGGATGGCCACTATATGGCTCAACGACTATCCGTGGTTGAAGTAATAGTGGGGTAATGGTAGGAGCGTTTATGCTCTGCAAGTGTGACTCACACTTGCAGAGCATCTCACACTGTGTGTGATGCTCTAGCCCGTCTGGTGGACGACGTTCATAGTCGAGAAACGTAGTGCTAAACAGAAACAGTGATTTTTACCGTGTTCGAGGCTTGTATACAGCGTGCCGCGGGTGACGATGCAATTTGCGAGTAGAATGATCGTCCGTTTGCCAAGGCCTGATGGTGCAGGTACGTGCTCCTAGGCACGATGGGTTTCTTTGTTATGATTGGGAGAGATTGACGACGATTATGATGGGGCAGTAAAGCTGTCACCTCCATCGGTACTGCTGTTCGGTCGCTGATGAAGTAGAGTGTTGTGTTGCAGAGTAGTGTTATTGCGGCTGGTTGGAAGATACATTTCACGGTCGGAGTTGCATTATTTTCCTCGAACGACAGGGATTGCTCTCACCTAATTCAGTGCACGGTGTGACTATTCGATGCCACCCAGAGCAGCATTGGATGGCTCCTTGCCGAGCTGTTGGCGGTGAATACCGCATATCACTGCCAGTGACATTGTAGGGGTCAGTGTGAGGGCGGGTGTGCTAGAATCTGCGGGTTGGCAGCTTCACATTTGCTTAATTACAATACTACGGTGCTTCCGTATTTAATACTAACGTTCATCTACTCGATGCCAGGGTACTGCCATTCCTTGGCCAAAACCAAACTCTCCTGACGAGGTTGGCCGTACGGCCCGTACGGTACGGCCCCTAGAAGAGCAAGCAATGCATGGCGGACCGCTATTGGCGGTAATTAGCACGCTATTCGAGTGACTGGTGTACTTGGGTGACTGCTTCAATGAGTTTGTGTTTAATTAGAAGAGCTGTTCCTACATTGAATAACGTCGAAGTTGGTTGCTCAAACAACTAGATCAAGACAATTCCCCTTCGGCGAGTATGGCTGCATACGAACCGCACCATACTTCCGATAATGTGAGTACGGTTTCAGTCCAAGAGAACCTCGTGAATCATTCACGAGCCAATCACGGTGAATGGCTAGGATCGGGAGGGCACCGTAGCGATGCTGTGTTGCTTGCCCAGGCCGCAGTGGGATTCGACGGATGAGGAGCTTGACCGAATTTCTTCATGCCTGATGTCAATATTAACCCGATATTGATTGTCCAACATATTGTCGGTGTATTCGAGTTAGCGAATCTCGAGCGAACAATACTGTCTGACTTATCCAGGATAAGTCAGACAGTATTGTCAGACAGACATGGGCCCCGTCAGATGGCCCATGTCAGACAGTCGCAGGATAAGTTATCCTGCGTTGTTGGCCCATTAGAATGTGACTCTTGGTTATCGGTATGCCTGTGAATTACTCACTTGGTAAGGTGATCGTCACTGAGCAGTATACCCATAGAATCGTGTCACGACGGATAGTTTACGAATAGTGTAATGTAGTACAAGTCGAAAACTGGCCCTAATCCGTCATCGCATTGGGATCATCTTTAATATTTGTGTGCCGGGATAGTCTAGCGGTTATGACGTCTGCCTTACACGCAGAAGGTCGCGGGTTCGATCCCCGCTCCTGGTATCTTTGGCCAGAGTTTGATCAGATCATTCATCACCGAGTCTTTCTCACCTCACAGCTTCGACGGACTACTAGGACGCCAATGCAAGCCGATTATCGGCTGCTGATATGAGCAACAGATGGAAATCCGTTGGTGGCATAGTCGCATGGTTACGCAGCGTATCTTATGGCATCGGACGAGACTGGATCCTCTGTTGGGATACCACTCTCCCGTTTACAGCTATGACAAGAACGTCGAACCCGAACTCGTCTAACATCCACACCGCGATGCTGGACCCACACAGGTCACTCGGAGTTAATTGTCTAGGAACCATCACAGCTCACCTTTCGGATCCAAACTATTGTCGATATTCACCGGAATAATTCACTTCGATCACTTTCACGCGTGAGGCGTGTAAAACTCGATGGGCATCGCTCAGCGGTTATTATCCTATCCATGACGAACCGTACCGTGTTGCACAAACAGCAGTTAGATGGCTGATAAAGAGTGTGGAAGTGTCAAGAAAATGCCACGGTTCATAAGCGTGTAATCCTGGGTTCGAATCCCGAGGGCCGCATTTTTGTCCACAGATGAAGTAAACGACAACCACTCCGACATCTCCCTGTGCGTATTCTGCTCGGCTAGTATAATGTGGAACCAAACGCATGTAGCCGACACGTGTAGTGGTTGATTGTACATGAATACATGCTAGTGAATAAACACGAGTAGACTCAGCGCGTCAAGTGAACTCCTGAGTATACCAGATGACGAACTCCGGATACACTTGGTCCTCATCATATACGATGAACTCCTGAATCCAACAGCAAGTTAATGGATCAGTATGTTGCTAGGTGCAAAAAATCACCCGGAAAGTATTCCTGCATTTCTCTCTGTCACCAAGGACACTGTCGAACTCGCCGCTAACAACGCTGGACACAAGTTCGCCCGTCCTAGGGTAGACGTCGTCACTGTACCTGTAGATCACTCCCAATACATAACACTTGGAGCATCAAGGTAGGTTTGCCTACAAAATACGGCCAGCGAGTACTCTGCATAGCAACAATGCTCGCTGATTGGCCCTCGGCCCTTCGGTTTCCTGGGAAGAAACTGTGGACACCGCAAGAGCCCTCTCAGCCTACTGCCGCCGAGTACTCGTCACTCTTTGAACAACACTCTGCGAAGTATATACCTCTACCATACAACGAACCTGCAGCCAACACGACTGACGGCTCTTAAAAAAGATCGAACCTCACCAGCGCCGCTGCTGCCGACAACGTCCATCCTGAAATCGCTGGAAGTTATAGCCTCGGCAGCCAGTGGCGTCGTGCCATGGAACAAATAAAACTGATAGAATCGCACACAAGTTGCCACCTCGCCTGGCACTAACCCCACCTCGTTTATTTCAGCGTGGAGGGGGTCCTTGTCGGCTCCAAGCAGCCCGTGCCAGGTCCTAAGATGTTAACTCTCACTTCGAAACCTCTCTGGTTTCGCTCACCGTGTAGTCTTGATATCAACCAACGGTTTCGTCGCAGCTCCACAGAAGCGAATCTTCTCACGAATATGAGACCTACATGTCACATCACCATTGTGAGTTCATCGAATGGGAATACCTTTTCCGACGATACTTCGCAAAAGCCCTCTCATTCTGCACAAGGACGACATCTTCCACTCGCAACCTCGCTGGTACTCTCTCATTGCGCCTACAGTGACGATGTTAGTAGCTCTCGTAACTGCACACAGTTTCCCACCTGTCTCTAGTGTAAGCCACCCGATGTGTGTCGTCGAGCAGAGACTGAAAGAACTCCTTCACATTCGGTTCCGCTGTGATCTGGAATCGCAATAATTCAACTCATCGCGGCAGAGCATTATCTACCACGACTTTGCTGAGAATGCCATCCTGCAGCTCATACGGCTTCTCTAGATCGACCCTCCAGCTCCGAGGCGACTCTCTAAGTGTGTAGTATCTAAGGCAGACATACACACCAGTTCTCATGACCAGGTTCCTCAGAGTCACCTCTCCAGTGCTTTGTTGAATAAGTGACTGCTTCGGTCCAGGCCAGCAGCGGCGGCATCACTCAGAGCCTCAAAGATGATCTGAAGTATCGTAAGATGAACTCAGTCGTTGCGATAGGCCAGGGACTACTCTGGGGTCGTCTCCCTCAGCAACTTTTTCGAGGGCCCGCAACAACACATAGGTCTGAAACAGCGTAGATAGGGATTCCACCAGAGAGGCATAGTGCTCACGGGTGAGTGTCCCATCACTGACGTAACTGTATGACACAGATCTTCGACACGCGGATCGCACAAGGACGAGCGACGAGCCAGCCGCAATGTCTCGTCCAACATAACAACGCAGCCCTCGCTGAGAGCTGAAGCAAGTTGCCGTGTACATACGAATATTCAATCAAATCTCACCTCCTTCCAGCATCTTCGTGACGAGATCGGTCAGCACAGTAGTAGCCTTCGCTAGGAGGGGGCTGCTGTCAGGGAGGCAACATCTAGACCTGCAATACCATTATGGAACATCTCATAGAAACATCGTGTACTCCACAACGGCTCGACATAGCTGGTGGGGATCTCCGCAGTCAAGAGCCCTCTGGAGGTCCTCGGTAGCCCTGGTCACAGCCTTCTGCTGGACCACACCCTTGAGGGCAACCTCGGCCGATGCAAGTTCCTCGCTGAGTACAGCAGACACCTTGTACCTTGAGGAGAGCAGTGGGGCTAGAGAAACGTGAGTAACATCCCACTGTTTGGCATTGATAATGGCTTGCTTCAGTTCCAGCTCGTTGGCAGCCTCCACTCCTCGAATAAGCTTCAATCTTGACATCGTGCAGATAGCTCGGGCCTCATCAGGCATACCCTGAGTTGAGGCATCCCAGTCCGCGAGAGAACATTCCCATGGCTGACTTGAATCCTGCTGTACTTCACGAGCTCGATCGACTCCTCCAGCTGGGAGACATCCTCCTTTACTAACGCCTCTTGTAGCTTCTGTGTCAACTTAGTCACCAGCGTTTGAACAGCAGCAAGAACCTGGTTATGGCCACTGATCGATCGCTGTTGGTGTTGACTGTTAGGGGACAGTCCGCAGTAGCTCTCACTATAGGGGAAGGCGCAGTGGTATAGGGAGGAGTCAGACGAGCCAGCCAGGCTCCTTCTACGGCATCCACAACAGCATACAGATCTACACAAGTGACTGTATCGAGCAGAGCCGCCAACTAACCTGAAGCCTTCAGTGCAAGATGGCATGCTAGGTAATGGTTGGTAGGAAAGGAAGCCCCAGAGTTGCGGGCTCTCATGATAGCAGTGTGCCCCTACAAGAGAAAGCCATAGTGGACACCACAGTCAACACCATCTACTTTGCCATCCTTGGTTGTCACATTAGCCCCGAGGTCGACTGCACCATCGCATACTTGGAAGTCGATTGCTGAGGCCGCTATGTGGAGCAGCCCCTCACCTGAGTCAGTGATGGACCCCAGATACACACAGAGGAGTAGCCTACCGTCTTTGTTGGTGTATGTCACCGCGCTATCCCGAGCAACAGTGGACACAGACAACACCTCGAGGCACTGTGAGGTAAGGCCACACTGTAGATGAGGAGATAATACATGTGAGCAGCTGGAGGAGTACTCACTCGAGTGAGCATCATGAGCAGACCATCGTCACTAGCACCCCCAGCACCGGTCAATGCCGAGTGTTGCTCAAGGCCGAAGCTCCAGGCCCTCTCGAGTAAATCGGTGGAGATCACCAAAAGACTGTAGACCCTGAGTGAATAAGCCCACTGACACTGTTATCGGAGGGAGCCCTGTTTGCCTACTCTGTCTGTTGGGGATCCTCTAGCTCGGCGTCTTCCTTCAGGACATCCTCTACAATGTTGGATGGTGATTCAGCTAAGGCCATAGCAGTAACTGAAGGAGGACCATCATGAACTTGGTCCAAGCGATCGAAAGAGAGGAGCGTACCCGTATGATGGAAATCAGCTAGTGCAATCAACAGGGGGCACTTGTCCAACGATGGGTCCCGAGCCTGCTCATAGGACTACGTCCGTGGCGATAATATACATCACTCCTACCAGCGGATTCGCCTTAGCATCCAACAACAGCTTGACCATGCCCGGCTGCCTCGCACGCAGAGCTGTAGTGAGCGGCAGCTCTCCCGTGTCGGTACTCACTCTATTCGGATCAACGTGCCATGTCCTAGTCAATAACGGAGATACGATTGCCCTTGCATATCTCTTGGGTGCCTCACTGAGTGATCAGGTTAGGTAGTCGTAGTTCCCGGTCTTGATAATTCGTGAGTAGTTCAACTGGGCAACTTCACTTTCGGTGACAGTCTCCATCTTCCCTCCTAGTGCGGCATAGACCCTAACTCTCCATGGTCTGATAGCACAGCATGTCGTGAAGTCATTCAAACTATTGAGAGGAACCCACTCGCTGTGGTTGATCCCTCGAACGAGGCAGTAACTCCTTAGACACTTACGAACTGAGATCAAGACGGCGATGACCACAGCCAAGGATGAAAATACCCCTATGAGGCAGTTCGCCTGAGAGAGGACAGCAGCCTGATGAACAGTGCATCCGGGGGCCTGAGGCTACCCAAGATGGTAAAGGACGTTTGACACATCGGCTACGATCGTCATTGGGCATCAGCCCACTGGCGGCGTCACATACAACACACTCGGTTCGATCTGAAAGGCCGTGTTTAGATAACGCCTGGGACCGCATGCACCATACCATGGCTTGCCGCCTCCCCCTCGAGGACGCAAGGCCTGCATCTTCCTCCCGTACCAGCTGTGCCTGAGGAGTAATAATAACTACACACGCTCTATTCCAATCTATCTATCAACAGACCACCACGTGAAGAGGCTTGACCGTGTTGGACTTACCAGGTGGACACGGCTGGCAGAGCCTCTGGGCGAACGAAGAGTCAGAGGAGATGTCCGGCCTCGACGGGAAGCTGGTGTTGCTGCAACCTGTGTCGTGGGAATAACCCTGGCAGAATGCCGAGCTCCTTGCATACCTCCCAACGCGAAGCTGAGACGGTCATTTGGTCCCAGAAGATGGAGTGAGAGGTCCAGTGGAGTGCGACTATTCTGAAAGAGGACCTCCAAGACGAGTAAACAAGGGAACTGTGAAGCCCACCATGTCCTCGACGAGGTTAACCTGAGATCCCCAGTCACGCAGCGTCTGGGCGGCCCAGTGCAGTCCAGTATAGCGTGATGTCAGACTTGTGAGTACGACTGTATCGTGAGACGGAGTGCGGCAATCTCGCTGGAGTAGGAACAATTCCGAGCATACACCCAGGACTGCCTACAGAGCGCTGGATATCAGCATTCGCACCGCTCCGTAAAAAGAGGTGAAGTAAATCGGTGCACCTTCGCAGACCTACAGTGAAAAGCATACAGCCATCTTCGATCAGCTGTTGGACCTTCAGGAGAGTTGGCGAATATCTGGTGGGCAGCCACTATGCTGTGGATGGCACTATTTCCTGTGGCACTAAACTTGCAGTCCACGGCGACCACAGAATTAGAATCGCCATCGCGTTCCATCAGGGCAGCTCTGGTGGAGACGACGTTGCATGTGGCGAAGTAACTGACAGAGAAACGGAAAGTTGAAATACCAAAGCGGTCTTGGACGTCAGCCCTCGCAAGTTGCTGGGACTAGATGCCTCAACGTACACATCAAGGCGGCCATCACATTCTGGGAAGGAGTCGATCGGGGTATCACAGGGGAGGGAGAGGCCTAGCATACGAACGACAATGACTTGGCAAGGGCGTTCCCAGCGTATACCAGGGAGCGTTGGCAGGAGCAGTGCGAGCGAGAACATCCACTTCTTAGGAAGAGGGTCTGAAAGGACAGACTGAGGACAAGTCACCTTGGCCGATAAGCATCCTCACTCAATAGCTTCCTGATGGCATACATCAGAGCCTATCGACGCGTCGTTGGTCAATGATCACACCTATCGAGACCAGGAGGGCTGCTGCGATGCTGAGACCCGACAGAGGTCCCAACGAAGCCGCCACTGAGGGGGAGACAGCGGCGCACTCGAGAGTGAGGCGGTTGAAGAACTATCCCATATCACTATCCTCTAATTGACAACGAAGATACACCAAGACATTGTGCAAAAGTTAGGAACTGAACAAGTAATAATACAATGGGATCGATTCCATAGTGCAGCTGAGTAACTTTGTCAAACCATAGGGGAAACTTCAAACTCGTCGCCGGGCCAAAGCCGTATGCTCTTCGCCGGCTTCCAACTTGGCCATTTCCGTATCGATCTCGTCTTTTGAGGATACTCTGTGGTGCATTTCCCACTTCAGGTCGGCTTCAACAAAGTGGTACCATACGAATTGGAGGGGTATCGTCGTGAAATGCCAGCACGCATGCGCATCCAGTAGCAGAAAGTAGGGCGGGAAGTCGTTGAGTTCGAAAGCGTACAGCAAGGGAGCAATACCAAGGGTCGCAACGTAGATCCACCTCACGTGCTTCCCCCGACGTCTGTGAGTGAAGGCCCAGTAACACCAACTGATGACCATCACAGCACCAACCGCACAAGCGACTTTCATGTTCCAACCATAGTTGAAGTCGACAAAGAGCATGTAGTACTGATGCGCTATAATGAACAAGTACACCGGTATTGCAGGAAGCCACGCCCGAAGCTCCTTATCCCCCTTTGCGCCGGCAAAGTTGTAGACGAGACCTGTGACCAACGCCGTTGATACTCCCATGAGGGCTGACATGTAGTCGAAGGCCTCAGTGGCAGGCCAGTCACGCGTGTGGAAGGTTGCACTGGCGATCCATACAATTATGCCGATACACGCATACAGTGTCCATACTCTACCAAAACGATACTTTCCTATAGGGACTGCCTTCGACCCGTAACACTGGTACAGAAATATGACATGAGGAAGGGCATTAAGGAGGGATGACACCACCGACATGAGCTCCTGCATACCTGATAAAGGGCAGACCACATCGGGTCGGGGCGGGCAGCAGTAGACCTACCGAGGACTCGAGTGAAGGCCCATTTACCACCATACTTTACAATAGGCTCGCCGTTCTCAACCCGGAGTTTATGATTGATATGCATGCATTCATAATCACAGTTATCTTCACAGCTCCAACCAGTAAGTCGGAGCACTTTGCCCAACTCCTGCTGTGGAGTTGCCAGTGAAAAGCCTAAGCCGTTGCTATGAACATCAGCGCCAACCAAGGGAAAAACTCACCAGACGCGTCGACCGCCGTATCAGCATCCGCTTGGCGGGATTGATCTCCCCTGGTGAGGTCGGTCAAGGCTGCCTCGAATGCGAGATAAAGTCTGTCGTAGAAATTCGGAGACGCATAAACACCTGGCTCCGACCGCACCGTACTGATAACCTGAAAGTCATCTAAAACAGTGAGTAAATGATGCCCTAAGAATAGCAGTATGTATTGGCTTGATCACTCACACCAGCATGCTTGACAAGATCCCGAGGATCGACGCTGCCATGCTGTATGAGTCCATACACAGGAGGCTGGCATTCGAATCGGCACTCCGCTGTGCACAGCATGTACCGGGCGTCACGACTACCATCAGCTGCTGAGAGCTGGGCGAGGGTGATGCTCGAGAGGAGGAACGTCAAGGGGAGCATCTACGGATCCACAACTGAGGAACACTCATGTCGATGATGAACCGAGAGGAAAGTAACTCAGACAGTGAAGTGAGTCAGTGGGGAAACAACAGCAAGCATGCAATTCAAAGATACATAGCCTCGTTAGTGACACATCTGGGTGAAGCGGCCTGCCATACTATGATATCGTTGCGTTGGCGGCCACGCTCTCATCCTTGAATAACGGCTTGTGATTCAGAGACAGCATGCAGAAGCACTAGCACTCACAGCTATAGACTTCCTCGAGGGCAAGCAGACCCTTGGTCTCGGGAGTATCCAGAACCGAGCGGATTCCCTCTACCGATGTAACGCACCGCATGAAAGACACCGTCTAGGGCGTCTTTCATAGCAACTAGGGTCAGTAGCTACTGACGTCTTCAAGACGGTTTCGCCAGAACCCACCTTGAAAAGCCTCTGTGTTAGTTTCCATTTTAGATATCACACAATTCACCATCATTATCACTAACCCTATGCAGCACGCTGTGCCGACGAGACATGAAGGATGAGAACACATAGCAGATGCGCATACTTCCCCACTCATTGTATCCTCAGATTCAATCTCCACACCCAGGGTGTTTCTAGCAGAGCCGGCATCACTACAGCTGGATCTTGCCAACAAGGAGGCCCCCCCCACACGGACCACTCACCCATTGCGTGGACTAGCCGATACATACGGGAACAGCAAATCCGAGAGGAACTCAGCAAGAGCGGAGAGCAGCTCACAAATCTCTTGATGATACAGCATCGAACTTGTCCCTGTGAAGACGGTTTGAGGATCTCCGTAACGCTGTGTGCAGCAAAGACGAAATATACCTACAACATCAGTGGAGTAGGTATACTCCCATCCGTAATATCAAGCTCGAAAACGGCGGAACAGTAGGGAAGTAGGACGAGAGGATGATACCAAGAACCTCGACATGCTTGCTGGATTTCTGTATTTCTAGTACCACACCGTGAGCAAATCGCGTAGAATCAACAAGAATTTCATCAACCTGTCCCTTCCCACTTCGCATGAACGCTTGAGATCCTATATGCGTCGCATTGCAGTATGCCCAACTCGGACCAAGGCACGCACATCAACAATTTTCCATCATGCATCCCAACTCCGCCGGGCAGTCGTCAGTCAGAAGGGATACCTCAGCAAAGCACCACACAGTGTTAAGTTAACACCAGCTCGCTCAGCGGACTCTGTTATAGATCTTATGAACTCGTAACCACCTGGCTTTGAGTCCACAAGCTTCGTCAGATGCGTCAATGCGTGTCAATCACCCCCCGTGATAGGCTTACTTGTAACCGACAAAATTACTAGGTCCCACAGGCGACGTGTTTGCGGGGGAGGACATTTTCTCTATTAATCCTAACCCTCCTTCGTCCGTTATTATTCCAATCAATTCACTCAGAAATGAAGCTGAGCCTCCAAATGGCATAGGGAGGTTCACTCGCGACAAGATATACCAACGTTGTTCACCAACTCGCCATTATTACTGTTCTTGCATTGCATGACCATATCAGCCACTACCGACTTCAGAGGCGGCAGCATGACTCCAATCTCGTGAAATACGTCGAGATTGGTCCTGAAGCCTCCCTTCTCACACCCAGGTCCATTCCCCAGCAACAAAACAATCACATTCGAAGACATTGCTAAAGATACGTCGTACAAACACATGCCATATCGGTCTACAATACTGTGAGATGCTTACAATGTATTGCTCTATTTCTTCATTTTAGATCAACGACAATGTATTCTCGCACGGTTGACGGAAATGTATTTTTTGCTGAAATGCATCAGCTGCATGCTAGTCGTAATCAACCAACGTAACCGAAACAAGTATTCCCGCATATTTGAGCAGCAACAGCTTATACTGCTCAGGAACGCTCACTTCCTGCTATAGGATAGCAGCTACAGCTTATAGGGCTGTTACCATGTTGCTGAAATGTGCTTCTCCCACCTATGCCGATAACAACTACATAATTATCGATTTCCTAACAAAGTCGAATATGCAGACACGTGTGAGCCCTCTTGTAACCCAACTAGGTCAATAACATCCTCGCGCTTCCCTGAGCTGCTATCCTTCCAAATAGTACATGGGAGTCGGGCTTGGACTGTTGTCCCCATACACTCGTCAATCAAACTCTTCTTCCGTAGAATAGGGTCCTGAAGGCCTTCAACTTGTTCACCATCGACACAGGGAGGGCAGTGACGTATCTGCTTATTTACGCTCAGTACGCGGCTGAGGAGATAGGGAAACCTTGTTGTAAGGCAGCGCAGTAGAAGTAATTCCCACTAGAATTACACTGGAGCCTGTCATAGAGAAGACCTTCCGCATTAAGATCATGAACATGCATAACATTAGCACCATAGAACCATAGCTTCCCTGCATGACCATGCAGGGAAGCCGACTTCGGGCTATGAGTAACGCCTGGGCGTCCAGCGTCACTCGCCACAAAATTGCCTGACTTGCGTCATTGACGTCACCTTAGCCCTGTTGGATTTCCATATGGATTCGAGCGGTAGCTCGTTGTCTCCTTCAGCCAATAGGGGACTGGCCGATCCCAAGGATGCCCAGGAATGCCAGGTACCACACTAGTGCGAATATGAAGGTCTATTCTCTCAACTGTCAGGCCCTACGAGATGCAGTGGAGTTCCTTATACGCCGTGCTGAGCAGCAGGCTCACGTGGCTGAGATGATCCGCGCTACCATGCTTGGACACTATCGTCAAGCCAATAGCACTGCAGCTGCTCAATCACCAACGAGGGAGGCGACTGACAATGACCATCCCCATGGAGAGGCGAACGACTTCGTCAGCCCTATGCCTGCCGAGACCCCACAATGTGACCTCTGGAGCAGAAGGCTTCCTTTGCGAGCGATGCTTCAGGTGAGTTATCCCCTTTGAAGCTGCTCCTACCGGCAGAGCCCGTGGATAAGCTCTATGACGACTCCTGTGGACTACCCTTCCTATCGCCCATGTGGGGGTCACGTGACGTCCCCGAGACCCCACTCAAGAGGAAGCTTTCTGATTTATTCTAATCATGTGTCACTCTGACTGATCTCCTCACTGGCATGACTTTCAAGATTCTAACATCATTTGTGTTGCCCTCGTTGCGTTCGCTCACAGGGAAGGATTCGCCCGCACGCTGTAGGTAATAACTCCTGCCATCTTGAGCGAGGGCACACCAGATTGTTAGTAGCAACGAACAACGAGCCTTCCTGTTCACAGGAGGTTGGAGGGCCTTGCCACAGCGATACTATGCCAGCATGCTACTGCAACACATACTGAACAACAGCATGCCACTGCAACATGTCAGGTTACAATGCTGATATGATTGTGAGCTCGGGTGGGAGATTAGTCTGCGGTTCACCTCATGATGAAGGCCTTCTCTTGCGAGTCTGGAGAGGACGATGTGAGTTCTCTGGATGCGAGCGTTAAGGTCAACACATTTATCCTCGTCCGAACAAATTCTGCTACAGGAACGATGATGAAGTTCATCCTTCATTTTTCCGCGAGCCTTGATATGGCGAGAGTCTGCAGCGCGCCGTGCCTATGTGGTGTGGTCGGCCCAATGATGTCATTCCCACGTGGTGAATGCCATGTGGCAAGTCACCGACAATCGACTCTCTTCGTACGATCTCTACTAGCTAGAAGATATCCTTGCTGACGGGAGTGACTACTCATCCTGCTCAGCATATTCGGTTCAAGTTGCTGATTTTGAATGCCGAATCAATCATCCGTGATGACTCCCCCGAACGGATTCGGTCTATGCAGAGTTCAATTGATTAGTTACACCTCTCCGAACAGCATGCTGAATGAAGGAGTTCGTTCGAGTCTGTTCCTGCGTTCTCCAAGTTGGAATCGCTTCCAAACACAACCCAATCTCAGAGAGGCCAAACTGGATGCAAGGTCACCAAATGCGACGTAACAGAGCCGCCAAACGGAATGGTGCAACATCATCTAATCGTCTGAGGTTTCCAGAAAGCTGAGAGGAATATTGAGTAAAATCAGATGAACACCGAGGGTGACTCGAAAATCACCGTCTGTGGGCCACACGGGAGAGCTGGGAACAAGAAGTCTAGAGTCCCCGCGAGGCAGCCCCAACTCAACCTCTTGAAATGGGACGCTACAAATGACGTTACCGACTCATTGTAAGGAGAACATTTTACTGCATGAATTCTACTTACCAAGTAGAACATTATACATCATAAGTGCGGACAGGCAGCTCTCTGCCTTGAGTAGTGCTTCAGCCCTAGTCCCTGGAGCACTAGTTTCCAACCAACTGGAAGGAGTGCGGATGGTGGGTACATCTCGGATTTCCCAAGGGGCCCAATTAAACCGCGAACCCCAGTGATCGCGCACGCATGCGGACCATTTTGACTACAGTTGTGGTCAAAAATCGGTTCTTAGCTATTCATGTTACGTGTGATACTCTGAATATAAATATCAGGGATACCCGACGGCAGTTACTCGCAACTTGTAGGGCTTTAGCAACTCCAGTGTATCCCAATGAGGATCGTTTTAGTCAGTTGCATCCGTATGTCGTTTCTTGAGAACCTGAAACGCCACACCGTGGCGCTTGATTTCGCCCTTCTCGACAGGCTCATGAAAGATTCGGACCCTGAGGGATCACTCCGGAGCGAGATAATGAGCTTCGGGCGTCGCACGTATTATTGGGCTGAGCGACAAGGAGTATTCCCGGTCGGACTCCTGCTCGGACCCTTACAGTTCTGCTTCTTTCGAGGATGCTCAATGGTTGGAGTTACTAAGGATGAGGCTGACGAAGATGAGTCGGTGTTGCTCTTGCCTCTATCCGGTGGGGATGGGGGCGAAGGTCTCGATTTGGATTGCCTCTTGGATCGGAAGTGTTCCTTCTGCTACGACCACAATGAAGACAAGCTGATAGGCCTTGAGGTTCATCAATCCTCGACAATCCTCACCGTTATTCCTCTGAACGATATTGACAGTAAGCTCAGATCGACTATTAGTGGCGTTAACCATGGTCGAGTTATGTTTGTCTGAGAATGGTATCTTCCTGGTTACCCTCTTACACGACGACAAACTCACACTCTACTACGTGGACATTCAAGGTCGCGCTCCTCAGAGGAAGGCACAGTCCTTATGGACCCTTGAATCTCCGACCCGAACTTGGAGGCGTGCTCTCGGGGTTACTTGTAAAGGTTCCTGGGCAGAGCAGGTTCGAGTGTGGGTCGCCACGAATGAAGGCTCCCTCGAGGTGTATAATCACAGGGTCACAAGGAGTGGTGGAGTCGTGGAGGCTGCGGAGCCACCCACGTTACTGACTGGTCTTGAGAGAAATGATACTGACGACAGTGGCAGGTCTATTAAACAGATGTGGAAGCTCGGGTCAGATCTATTCTGCATATCTATGGACTATTACGATGACCCAGGACTATCTCTGAGTCTGTATGATGGTAAGCTGAACAAGATCCAACACCTGATGTCGCTGTACTCTGAGGAAGATAGATTCGCTTGTGTGGTGCCTGGCTTCAGCACGGAATTCTACATCCTGGTTATGAGAGATCTCACGTCGGCGATGAGGGAGCTACAGCTGGCCTTCCGGCGCGGCCACATGGATCAAAGCGCTATGGATCGTATGAGGAGACCGCATAGTATGTGTGTGTGGGTCGTTGAATGGGGAGAATATCAGGGAGCGTGGCTCTCACACTAAAGACCTTGAACATGGCATGCAGTGCCTACTTCAATCAACCATCAACTCAGCATGCTTTCCGCTGCTCTGTCATTGGAGTTTTTTCACCAAAATATTGTTGATCTCCAACATTGATTAAGAATACTCATTCAGACTCCTGCATTCGTCGTGTTGTTATAAAATGGATGGAAAGTCGTGACGTTGGTCAGTTGATACGAACCAGTCAGAAGTAAACAGTCCAGTTCAATACACAAAACAAGATCGCAATTCCGACGTAGTCTTTCACCAATCGTGAATTGATTGACGATGCTCTCCGGAGCAAATTCTAAGCTCGTCGGTAGTTTCCGAAGATCCACACACGAAAACAGAACACGATCACGGCAGAGTGAAACATGATTCAGAGAGGCACGTCAAGGTGAACCTGCCAATGAACTCACTTGACAAGATTCTCCGCGGACATCAGACAGCGCGCACCAGGATAATCGGACGAGCCCACCTCCTTGGTCGGTCCAGTCACCGAGAACTTCGACCTCTCTGGCACTTGTCGCTCTCGAACGATCACGGTGGATCCAGCAGTACCAGCTTCGATGATAGAAATCTGAGTGGACATGATATCAACCTACTAGCAACTCACTGATGATCAAGTCGGAGAGCACTAGACATATACATGCCGGTAGACGACATCGACGAGCCGTCTAGTTGATTTGCAGGTCGAGAACTCCAGCGGGGACAATATGGATGCCAACGATTCGAATATTATCTGATTGAACAGCTTCAAGAGATAACAGTATGGCATCCGCGAGGATGAGTTCTTGAAATCGGAATCAATTGAGTTTCACCTGTTTTACGTGAAGCGGCGTAATACTCGATGAAAAACGCGATATTTGCAGTATGCAGTAGTCGTGAAATACGCTATTCACTAGTGTTTTTCATATCACGGGTGAAACTCCAATAAATAACCGTTAGACTCACCAATGAGCCAGTGTGCTCTGAAAGCCACGATTCTCGAGTAGCCATATAGAGGAATCCGAAAAGATCATCAACTGTTTTCATCTCATAGAGACTTAATCGATGGAGATCTTTCAATGGTATGTCTGTAAGAAGCCACATAATAGAATGCTAAACCATTGTTGCGATACCGAACACGTAGATGTACCTTGTTCGTGAAGGGCAGTAATAATCGGCAACATCCGAGCCATTCTCCCGACTATTATGCAGTGCCGACGACCTTCCTGCAAGGCACTTGATAGGAGCTGTACTACAGCGGCAATCTGTGCGGGTGACGAATGTTCAACACTGCATGCAAACCTCAAGCATACACTTCCGCCTCCCGTCACCCTCGTCACACCCGCAGACGACAGAGCAGAGTTTAATGCCGGAAAGCTCGTTGTTGGCTCCAGTCTCACACCGTCCTTGCGAATTCCCTTCATTGGTGGGGGACTACGACAAGCAATGCATAAAAAGAGATTACACTTCCTTTAAGGCCTACTCGCCAAGTGCTACTAGAGTACGATCTACTTCACGTATAAGAGCTTCCAACGGATCATACCGCATACGCTTCTCTGGCTTGTCCAGGCGTATAGGCATTCTCCTCAGCCTCAAATTACCTCAACTGCTCCCTAATAAACACTTCACCAAAGATACTTTGCACCATTTTCAGCAGCACGCCGCGCACCTGCGACAACCTATACGTGATCACGTACGACCGGAATTTACAACACCGTACTCGGCATCTGAATATATCTAACGAGATTCTATGAGAATGTACCACTAGACCAACAATGAACAACTGCATCACCAACAGTGCGAGCACTGATAGAGATCGCCAACTAAGCAGGGATATCCATCGGTGTGTGAGGACGTAGCGGAGGAGTTTGCAGTGCTCTTAGTGTTGTGATTTCTCAAACACAGACATGTTCAGTTTTGCTCTTTACCTTTGAAATTCTTGGTTGGTGCGGAGGAATCCTAACCGACAAAAACATTGATTCCCTCTAGTTGTTGGGGACCCAATAATGCCCACTAGGCGATCACGCAACGACAGAGGTCACTCGATTTACGCTCAGCACATCATGCAAAATCCATCTCAGGCACTGTCCAACCAGTTCAGCAGCCAATCGACTCACTTTTCCGTGCTGAGCTTTGGCCTCCTCAGTCGAACCTGACTCGCCAGATGGAACGCTCTTCGCGCGTTTAGAGCAAAACATGAACCCCACGCACAACAAAAGAGCCTTGAGGACACGAACAGCCCAGCGGAACAAAGCCATGCTCAATATGATGAACACCGCTCTGTCGGTGAGCTCAGGACCTACACGTGGACACATTAGAAAAAGAAGAGGATGACAACCCACCAGCGATCCCTCTAGTAGCAGGATAGGCGGCATGCATCTTCTTGAGACTAGGAGCAGTGAGAGCCTTCTGCTTCTCATTGACAAAACTATATACCTCCGTAGCACCAGTTGTGGCCGCATCGATGATAGGATCTTAGACGTGCTCATACGACCAACAACACTTACGATATACTTACCAATCTTGGGCGCAACTTCAGCATAGTAAACATCCTTCGCTTGGGAGTAATACTTGTTGCCGTCACGAACGACTTGGTTATACTTACCCTGCATAGACTTCGACAACATAGCTACCACAATGTCCCGATAGAACCTGACTACGCCCTGAGAGGAAAGGCTTCGCTCGAGTCACATCTCACTTAGCCAGATCAACCCAGTAAAAAGCCGTCTGATAGACGACATTCTTCGCACCTTCGAAGGTTATGAGATCATCGGTAACAGCAGAAGCAGATGTCGAACGCGTGGCCTCCTTGACAGCAGCCTGAACACCGGCGCCACTGGAGACCTCTATCGTAGTGCGGGGGGCGCAACGCTGATCTCAACCCTCCTAGTTGGGGCAGAAGCAGACACAACAGACGCTGTGGTGGGAACAGCATTCGTAGTGGACTCTACTGCTGGCGTAGTAGTAAGAGCAACAACAGTAGGAGTAGTATGGGGCTCAACTATGTTCGGACGAGGAGTACTAGCCGCAGCCTACGTAACAATATGATGAGTCGATACAAGTAGTAAGAGCAACACCCTAAGAATGAGCCCAACTCACCTTGGCAGCAGGAGCCCCTTGAATGCCGCACAATATGGAAAGCGCAACCACACTTGCGAGAACGCGTACCATTGGTAACTAGATGGAACCGATGCAACTGCTGACAAACAACAATGTAGGGACCTAGGTGACAACACTAGGTCAAAATGTTACATTTAAACTTCAGAATCAGGCATGAAAGATCAAACGCTCATTCCTAACCTATATGCGTTTACTAGCTAGTCGGGCGCCGTACTCCTCCTGGCCGCTGAGGATACGTCTATGCCACAGCACTCTGCTGCGTCTACACGGTACACACGACCAATCGTAGACGTCCTTCAAGACGCACTCACGACAGAGCCAATGCCCGCAAGGCCACGATAGCAACCGCTGAGGCAGGAGTTTACTCGATCGGCATCGACTGCACTTTCCCGGGAAAAGAAAGTCAGCGGCAGCAACGGCAGTCGTCTCCGCTCTATCATAGAGAACGTCGTAGTGACCACAACCACCTTCCGTAGCAGGAGCCGTATAGAGTAGGGTAACCACCCTAGCATCATCTTCACCACACTTGTGAACAGCCATATCCATTGCAGCGCATCCAGGAGCACAGACTGCTATGTTCACTCCGAATGCTCGAGCAGCGTAACCGAGAATCCAAGCCTCAGCGTCAGCCCGTGTGTTGAGCACCAAATCGCGGACAGCTGAGTGCACATCAACTGAGCCAACAGCAGCTAGTATTGCCTCAGCTTCGACAGTTTTGCTGCAACTCATAACCGCCCGTGCGATAGAAGCACGGCACTTCGAAATGAGCACCTTGTCCCATTGAGGGTCCGCCACCATACACCTGTATGCTTCTAGGGACTTTTCACCATCAGTAACATCAGGGGAAGCCAACAACTCCTCAACCAGTACACGAGACAGGCAGTGGTAGGCATGGTCGTTGTGGGCCCACACTAGCGGTTCGTAGTAGCCGAGCAGGAGGGCGCGATAGAAGCATTGACCATCACCAGCAACACGACGTAGAACCATACTCTTATCAGCATCAACAGCACCAGGGGTTGCAACCAAGCTTGATACCAAATAGCGAGGAGCATCTTCAGGTGGACCTACGAGCTTCCGAAGGGGCGATGATGGGCGGGTTATTGGTAGAGGCGGCGGAGGCAGCGGCTGAAGTATGAAATGAGACGGCATTACACAATCGTTACATGTAAAAGGACCACACTATCGACATCTAGATAGCAGCAACCATGAGTCATGATCGGGTACGTCTCAACGGGAGTGTAACTATACGAGTGACAAGCTCCAGCAAGGAGTAAGACTAACCTAGCGGCCAAACCCGACGCAATGCAAACCTCTCCCTAGATAACGATTCGGTGATAACAATTCCATCAACCTAAAAGGCCATCATAGGAAGTCTAGGGTCTAGATTCTATACTGCGACCTGACGAACACTCGAGGCACTTTACACCGCTACGACATGGTAGACCTTTATGAGTGGCAGACGCACCTAGAGTAGAGAAGTCTGGTGATGATGGGAACTCGTTCATGTGCACCTTCAAGCTACTCGTGCTGCGGCAAAGAGTCTAAACGTTACTTGCTCATTGTCGGGCGTGCGCTTTTTACAGCGCTTATTCCGAGTGCGGTTGTTGACCTCCTGATCGAAGCCTTGCGCGTTGCAACGTCGATACCTCTCCACAATATCTTTTCTGATGGATACGTACAACCTACACTCAGTCAACGCTGACAGGTAGCCAGTTACTTATACTATAAGTAACTGGCTACCTGCTAGTATAAGTCTTATAGCAACGTACCGGATGTGGTTTCGCCGCACACGTACGTCCGCACTCTCAAGAAGATTCCCAAAAGAGGCACGTACTGCTATGCTGACTTTCTCAATTTTGCTGGAACTTGATGAGCGAAATGGACTCGAACGCTCCTAAGTCGGCCAAACAAGTCCCCACTACACTGCCACTTCAGCCAACAATGTCTTCACTTCTACATGCCTTATAGCCCTACCAACTCCTTCCCTGACAAGGAGCCTGCGCGTTTCCTGCCAGTGCTCTTCGTGTGTACTATCATCTTCGCTCTATGGGCCATATACAACTTTGTACGTTATGAATAACTAAGCACGAGAGGTCCATGACATCTCAGGTCCATATCTTGCCGCTGCTGCAGTTCGACAGACCGACAGCTGTACGTCGTGAAATGTAAGAGGAGATGAACCTATCCCCTTCTTACTGGTTATTGTTAGGGCCCAACGAGGATGGATTGAGCTGGTCATATTCAACGCCCTCTTCGCCATGCTACTTGTGTGCTACACTCTATGTGTTGTTACTAGTCCTGGGGAGGTGAGAAAATTTATGCTGGATACGATCGATTCTGATGCCTCCGCTTGACCCCGTGTCTTTGACCCCGTGTCGCAATCGTATCGATGAAGCATTGATTTCTGTTGAGTCATTTTGACGGCTATTGGTAGATACCAAACACTGAAAAGTGGTTGTATAATGGAGGAGGAGAAGACGAGCCTGTTGGAGCTGATCTTTCCGGACTGGGTGAGACCAGTGATGCTTCATTCGTTTGGAAAGTGATGACTGTCAGATGCACAAGAGAAGAAGCGGAGTGGGGAGAGGAGACACTGTAAATGGTGTGGGAAGTGAGGTGTAGTCGTCGAGCGGCTTGTTTTTCATGCGAGTGGTCGCAGGTTCAAACCCGACAGATGTCATCATTGCCGAGTCTGCAAGAGATGTGTAAGTTTTCTCACGCTACGAGCAGGATTACCGCGAGCAATAAGATTCCCTCTCTACTTCCCACTCCAAAATTTTCGGACAATTTCACCGAAAATTCACGGCATGAATTCTACGCGTGCGTCCATCTCAGCAGAGTTATCAATAAATAATGATCTCTACTGATATTTATTGGGATCATCTTGGTTGCTCTCATCTTTTCTTGCTCCTGGTTATCGTAAGGTTGGTGATGATGAGATGGATGGTCAGGTGTTGAAGATGGACCATCACTGCCCATGGATATACAATTGTGTTGGCTTCCGTAACCACAAGTACTTTTTCCTACTGCTCTTCTATGCAACACTCACGGCTCACTTTGTGTGGATCACTATGATCGAATCGGTGAGATTGGGAATTGGTCTGTCTAGCGTCACCATGGTTCGAATCTACCCGACTGCTCCTTTATTGGAAGGCTGTTTGATAATATTACTCCATTGGAATCAACTAGCATCGTGGCTGTCATGTAACTACTGAGGTCTTTGTCAGACGCGTTATGCGGTCGAGGAAGAAGAGCCTTTAGGACGAGTCTTCCTACTGGTATTTGGCATGGTCCTCTCATCTCTCTTCGGGTTACTGTTGACAGTGTTCTTTGCTTTCCACATATGGTAGTAACTCCTGCCTTGCTCTATCTCTTGCAGTCCTATCGTGTAGGTTGGCGTTCAAGGCGATGACCACTATAGAGTACTGCGAGAAGTCTAGCAAGAAACAAGACTATACTGGGGTGGGCGCAGCCACTTGGAACTTTATAGATCTTCGTTGTCAGTCTATGTATCATCGTGGATGCTACGGCGACTTCATAGCAGTAGTTGGGCCGAATCCTTTCTTTTGGCTTTTGCCTATAGGTAGTAGTAGTAGTAGGAGTAGTAGTAGTAGTAGTAGTAGTAGTAGTAGTAGGAGTAGTAGTAGTGGTAGTAGTAGTAGTGGTAGTGGTAGTAGTAGTAGTAGTAGTAGTAGTAGTAGTAGTAGTAGCCGATGTGATTTTGGAATATGCTGTTATGATTCAGCATATGGTAGAGGCGATGGGATGACTTTCACCAGCAACAACAGTGAGGGGAGTCGGAAGGTGTCTGTGACTAGCAGCTATGACAAGCATCGTATAGGGAGTGATGGAAAAGGTAGTTGTTAACCATTAGGGAAATCAAAGCTATGATTAATGAAATATAGAGATTCATCATACTCGGAAAATCATCGACTAGCTTCAGCTGAAGTATTCTCACGAGCGTATGAGTTCTCATGTGCGTTTGGCGTAAGGATCTGGTTTCAGGAGAGGGTTCGTCTCGGTCTACTCTCGAGGATCGTAGTGCCGACACCAAACGGGTAGGGAGGGGAACTGTTGCTGTCGACATGCTCAGGTGTGGTTACTGTAGGTGGCCAAATACATGGAGGAGGATGAACAGCGTGCCCCGGAGTCGAGCGAGCCGCTACTGTGAGGGCCTTAGTCCGAATGCTCACATGCCTTGCTTGTGGCTGGTGTTATCCCAAGGCTCTTGTAGCCGCCCATGGTTGTCACTAAATTACCTTCGTGTTGTGTTGAGTGTCCATGAATGGACGTAGCTCTTATCGGACAAGGTGTAGAATGACAGTAGGTGTACTACTACTGCTACTCGGGAGTGCCAGACTGTATATCTGACAGCTCAGTGCTTTTGTATGGCCCCACAACAGGTCATGCCGTTAGGTCGAGGAGGTTTAGACTATAGCTACGTCTCCGATCGTCAGATGCCTCCGCCGGTATCTTCATCGGCAGCGGCCCCGGAGTCGCCCCCTCGTGGGGTCGGTGCGATGGGTGGGCCGCCTCCACCACCACAGGTGAGTGGGAATCTTTAGGTTGAGCGTACTGGATATGAGTTAGGTTCACTGATTGTGTTTTTCTTTGCTGTAGATACCCCATGCGGATGACATGCCAGCCCACGGTGACTATATGAGAGCGCCCGTCCCTCCTCCTCAACGGCAGCCGTATCCAGCGCAGGGCATGCGCGTGCAGTACAGCCAGCAGGCTCCTGACAGAGACCTGGCCGCATCGAGGGATTACCGACCGAGACAACAAGAGGTAGATGAGGTAGATACTCTAGCGAGGACAATAAGCATCGACTCGATTACACGCTAATCTCTACGGGACTGTTCGACTATCTCGTGCTTACGAGAGGAGCTCTAATTCACCAGTTGACGCTTGAGAAATGCTCACCATTGTGACGATTGTAGGACTCGTTGAGCTACGCAAGAGGGCTCTTGTGGTGGATTCCTTATACGTCGTCATACACACTGTTGATGTTGGTAGATAGATGAGTCATTAAGACGAGACCTACTCCGTTACATCTTCGAGCAGACATCCAATGTTCATGTTCACAATGAGGAATGTACGGCAGCTCTAATGCAGTGCTTGACACAGATGCTCAATGCTCTTGAAGTCGGCATCCATGTAAGTGAAGGCGCCCCTTAATCACCTTGTGGGGTCCATTTTATGATACGACTCGGATATTGCTGCTCCCACGTTGGCTGGAGTGATATCGTCAATTCCTCAGAAAACGGAAGGGCGTGTGATAGAGAATATGACGTATAGTGCTGAGCTCCAACATGACATCGGCAAATGCCTGTCGAAGCTTGACGTGAGTTGGCTGTGGACTCTGTGGCTTGGTCAGACTGTAGCTGTTTCCTCTTAGGGTGTGACAAGATATTGCAGGGATACTGAGGTGGGTGGAACGGGAGGAAGTTGTTGGTGTTGTTGTTGATTCGGTGCTGCTCACTCAGACGCATTTAGTTGAGAACTTGGCAGAGACAAAGGGCAGTGCTCGCAGTGTGCTGCAGCGCTTCGAACAGGACGTAGCATGCCCGTGGTGAACTGAGTTGATGTTGTTATTGTTAGGGTAACAAGTTGGACAGTATACAGACACATTTGACGCAGCTAGCGGTGATACGGGTTACGGTTCACAGAGACTACAGCATTTCCAGGTCAATTTAATATTTTAACCGAATTTCTGGTATAAAAAACTAGCTATTATATTGAAATTTTGGGTAATAAGTTGGTATGAATATAGTCGGTAAATGATTAAGAAAGGGTATTCTTTAAAAAGAAGTGGTTGAATTACTGAAAATTCGGGTAGAATATTAAATTGACCTTGAAATGCTGTAGTGATGTATCGCGTGGTGTATGGTGAAATTTCGTGGAGTTCCGCTTGGGAATTTGTCATCAGACATGAATGGTCTCGGCACTTCATTGGAGTTTCACCTGTGATATGAAGAACAGAAGTGGAAAAACATATTTCACAAACGACTGCATATCACCGCTAATATCGAGTTTTTCACTGAGTATAACGCTACTTCTCGTGAAACGAGTGAAACTCCATTGTTATTTTGAAGGCTTCGCACCATGATGGATTTATCTCACGGTTTCTCAGAACCAAGTCCGAGACACTCCGACTTACAACGATATGAAGACCAATAACGAAGAGATGATCGCGGCTATCTCTTCAGTGAGCTCACACGCCCATGTTGGTTCACTCTGTATTGTCTGTGCAGCGTTTTGCGAGTTTGGACAGCACTCTGCAGAAGCTCGCAGAAAACGTATCACAAGTGAAAGCTCAGAATGTTACGCTCACTTCGGCTCTCACGAGCATCAGCGAACGGCTAAGTTGGCTGGAGAGGGCTGACCAGGATCGCCTCAGACGATTGAGCGCATCGAGCACTGTGAAAACTGTGCCGCATATGGGGATGTAGTTGAAGCCTGCGATGTCTCTGCTGTGAACTCTTGTTCAGGTCTGGGGGTACTACTATGGTCGGCAGTGAGGTGGACTTACTCAGTAGCAACGACTTGTCGTATGGTACTGCTGTTGAGGTGAAGGAGCAAGGCTATGAGGGATTGATGGGCGCTAGAGGTGGGAGGATGAGGAGGAGCTAAACGGAGCGAGTGGTCCGAAGCGCGAAAGCTGCTGCCCTACTTTAGATGATGGGCGTCATTTCGGCATTCGTTGGTTGTGATTCTCCGGTGGGATCTGTCCTCTCCATGGTGTTTGGGATTGTCGTTTCTAATTGAATATTCACTATGCGTTGATGCAGTGCTTGGGGACCTTCAGTGATTAGATACACATCACGATAGAATAGTGGAGGAGGAGGAGGAGAATCTCCCTCGGGCCCCTCCGATAGCGCCGGTGGTGATGGATTCGGGGTTGCCGCAGTCGACTATGCATAGAGAACTGCCAGGGAGTGAAAGCTCCTATAATGGAGATGTGAATCGGCTCAACGGGGAGCGGATGCCGGAGTGGCATGTTAGCGAGGAGGGTAGTGTTAGGAGGTATGGTCGCCTGGTGAGCAATGCTGGTCTTGTAGGGGTCGAGGAAGCCACTGCTGGGCCCCTCACGGCAGTTGCCGTCGATAGTAGTCTTGTTGAGGGCGAGGTCGATATTGGAAGTGCCTCTTGTTCGAGTGACAAGAGTCGTGGAGTGGATTTCAATGCTGAGTACACGAAGCCATTACTAAGTCCGCAACAACGGGAAGGTAACGTGAGAGTAGCTGTGCTCATTGTGGCGCAAGTTCCACTATAGTGTGTGAAGTGTTGTCGTAACTGCCTCCTTTAGTGCCTACTAACACAGTTGTGAGCATCGATCGAGAGCTCCCTGTGGGGCCCTCTGGGGCGGCATCCGAACCGCAGTCTGATAAGGATATTGTTGGAGACGTGGAGTTACCGGTGGCATCATTCTCGGCGGTCGGCAATGGTCCTGCGAGGGAGACTGCTGGTGAGTGTCGCGTCCTGGCTAGTCGACTTTGTTTTGGAATTGCTTGTTACTATCAGACGATCTTGTGAAGGCAATGACTGAGGAGGGGCTGGAGGTAGAGTGTGACGAGCAGGGGGTTGTTTGGAATGCCGGCAGCAGTAAGTCGAAAAATCTTTCATCGATTCGCTATGGCTTCTACTATGGGAAGAAATGTACATGATCAACTTTATGTGTTGGTGACGATGTGAAAACTCTGGGGAAAATTGTCTATTGGTTTCTCTACACTTCCCCCCGAATTCGTATGCTAACTTGAGTGATTAAGGAAACATAGGAATGCGAACATAGATTCCAACACTACTAGTCTTGGGTATTCCTCGTAATAGTGGAATAATAGTAGTCGCTCTTTCGCCCCTCCATCTCGAGTAATAGGGTCCCCCCCGTGATATGAAAAGCACATTTCATATTTCACTCGCGAATATCGTGTTTTTCACGTGGAGTATCGCACCATTCTACGTAAAACGGATGAAACTCCAATGATTTCATCCATGGTATTGCATCATGGTATTATGAATATCGGCCCAACTACCCGTTTCAGTTGGCGATCGTAATGTGAGGGCCAATAGTAGTACACATAATGGTTCGAGCGACCCCTCAGGGGACAACAACGGAATGCGCTTGCGCGGTCTTAACCTTCTGTCTGTAGGGTTTTTCTATTATAAGATGGAGTTTGTGCAAATTGTCTCCTCTTCAGGAGCACGCGCTCTTGCTGGTGGATTTTGCGACGCGGGTCTCGCGCAGCTCGTAGCTCTGGCATCGCCCGATAGTGAGGATCTACGAATTGATGTTGCTAAGCTTCATGTGGAGGGTCTTGGAGGAGAACCAGAATTAACTCGTGATTTTGGTAAGGCGTGGTTGGGTTCACAACGTCTCCAATAAACGCTCTACTTCTTCAGCTCGTAAGCTCCTTGATGTCTATCAGTCTAATAAGGTGAGTCTAGGAAGTTGGTGGGAACGCGGAGTTTATATGTTGTCTGAATCAATAACCTGCTTGTGTGCTTACCTTAGGCTTCTACTGGGCGGGTTATCAATGATCTCACTGAGTGGCTTGCTGAAGGTCCTCTAGATGGCGTGCTGTTGTAGTCAATTCGATATCGTTATTCCGCTGCGTAGTGCAACTTAGTGCATACACTCCGTGAGTCAAGCTTTGCCCTCGGAAGTAGCTATGATAAGCTCACTAAGTTGCCTGATTGTTTCTATTGTGGGTGGAATCGCGTTGATCTGAAAATGGTTTAATTGAGAGCACTCAGTGCTTGAGGGGCGTTGATCGTAATGGAAGTTGTTGAATATAGTGACAAACTCAACCTGACAGGGATATCTACTGGTACAGTAGTCTCCATCATCTTCATACTGAGGTCCTCGAGTTTGGTGCAGTGATGTGGGTCCACATTGACGGCTAGTACGTATTTATCGATGTATAACACAAGACGTGACAAGGGACAGCACCATGTCTATGCATCATGACACATCGTTAAGGGAATATTCTATCATCAATGGATGCAAGCGTGAGCAGCATCGACAATCAGGCTGCACTGGTAGAGGGATTGAAATCCACAGTGATGCCTCGTGGAGTGGGGAGAACCACCTGAAATCACACATGATACACACATCGATCAACTGCAGTTGCTCGCTAATGAGGCCTCACCTTGTAGTCAAAACCAGTGGGCAATTGATGCGAACGTGCTGTAGAGAGAGGCGATGGTTGGGGGAGCTTGGGGGTGACGGGAACGCTGGGAAAATTCGAAGTTCGGGAAGTGAGCATTCCGTCGGTCAACGCCTGCAAAAGTATTGATGGAAATGATAGCATAAAGGGCGGCCCACCTGGTAAGGGTCGACTACGAGAGATACGCGAGGGAGTCCCAAAAGACTGAAAACGACATGTTAACAGGAGGGCCGACGGGGTAGCTCACCTCGAGCGAGGTCCCCTGGCACTGATGCTGCCTCGAGGCGTTGGGTTAGACTGAGGGAGAGTCTGTTGTCTCTCGCTGGTCCCGATCCCTTCAGCAGAGGAGATAGTAGCGAACTGCTGATGCTCTGGGTGCAGCATAACGAAGGGGATGTCGTAGCCGACTATCTTGTGACGTCGGGATTCTGCAAAGGGCATGAGGAAGGGTTTGTGGGAGAGTCGTTACCAGCCGCATCGACGGTTTTGGGGGCGTCGATGGGCAAGGCTGGACTATGCATATACACGGCCCGAGCCATCGGTCTCCAGGGGTTCGCCGAATTGCCGCTAGAATCACCTGAAAGGTGAAATATGCAGGCGTATTGAGGAAAGTGTAATCAAGAATGGAACTCTCAGAAGGGATAATCTGTTGAGTTCTATCGGGTTGTTGTAATTAGCGTTGGCATCACGAGCTCCCACTTACCGCAGTTCAGTGGTGGGTTAAAAGAAGGGGCGAACATGTTAGTAATCGAGAGACTAGGATTTCTGTGGAATGCGACGGCAGCGGAGAGCTCGAGATCTTGCGCACTTACCCGTCCTTATATTTCCTCAGCTCCCACAACGCACACAATCAAATTGCTCGAGACCTTCCTCGACCGCTGAATATGTTCGGGCTCTGTTTATTTGTTCGATTGGTTAAGGTTTATGAACGTTTCACTTGTGACTCGTATAATCTACCATGTCAAACGTGTATAATTCTGTTTCCACAAAAAAAACCGCTGGCTATTTCGTGGCGCGTGAAAAAATTGTTTGTTGGTGGTAGAAGGTTTCCTATTGTTGGTAATGGCTAAGCATCATCCAGATCTCGTAATGTGCAGGAAGCAGCCTGGCATTGCTATCGGCCGCCTCTGTGAAAAGTACTTGGGACGGAGCCACCCGCTCTTCTCACGTTGGCGTTCTCCTTATGTCAGGTGCGATGGGAAATGTGTTATTTGCGATTCCTATGTCCGACCGTCAACTTTGGTGAAGATTTGCGATGAGTGCAATTATGGTAGCTATCAAGGGAGGTACTATATACTGCCAACCTTGAGGTCCACTTACTGTTGATGCGGAATAGGTGTGTTATCTGCGGAGGCACGGGGATTTCAGATGCCTACTACTGCA